AACAAACATTAGATTTACTTATATATTTTTAAATTAATCACATCAATAAATAATATTAATATACATTAAATATTTATCATTATATAAAAAAAATATTACTTCTATAAATGTTATAAATAATATTGACATTATACAACAATATACTTTTGAATAAAATAATATTTGAGTATTATTATGAACCAAGATATGTAAAAATATTTTTTTTTTGGTATTAAAAAAAATATATGTGTTAAAATATTATTTATATTAATATAGACGGATCAACGGGCTAATCTATTGTTTAATTAAGTTTTGTAAAAATATTTTACAATACGAAATCCCCGTGCGGGATTTTCACTAGTATCATAATAAGGAAAATGAATATATATATAAAATCTCCTAATGAATCTAATATATTTCCTTTACCTACAAGCTAAAGAAAGATAATTAAATCCAAATAACACAATAGGAGAATAATTAAAATATGGAAAGTTAAGATAAAATTTTTTTCTCTTTTCTCTTCAAACTTTTATTCCATGATACCTATTTCAAAAAAAAATACAAATATAATAAATAAATATTATTTTCCATTAATGCAAAATTTTATTTTCTTACAAACACAAAAGGATAAAGAAAACACACACCAGAGGGAGTAGAAGGAGAAGGTGCCTGCAAAGAAAAGGCAACTCCCAAAGTTTGAAACTCCACAATTGGCAATCTCTAACTACCCACACACCAAACACCGTCTCTCGCTGCTCAAAACGCGGACACACACACACACACACACACACACACACACTCTCTCTCTCTCTCTCTCTCTACGCACGCGGAGTTATATTGTATAAATTTCCTTTAATCGCTCCCCATTCATTATGTTCCCATTCAAAAGGTCCAATTTTCGGGTAATTTCATTCATTCACCTAATTTTTTTGTTCATGTTTCTCGATATATTGTTGCGGTTTTCTCGATTAACATTTTCAATTCTGCGCCACGCCTTTGAAAAAACATCCGACATTGTTGAAAAATTCTCAATGTAATAATAATACATCATTCTTCGTCAAAGGTTTTTAGTATTTTATTATTATAAAGACTGTTTGTTCTTTTTGTTGGCTATAAAAAGGTGGGCATTGTCCGTTTCTTGAACCGCATTAAATTCAGAAACCCAAGATAACGGAAAGACTGTCTTTTTTTTTTGTGTGTTTTCTGATTTATTCTCTCTCTCTTTCTATTTTGTTTCTTTTTGTTTATGGTTCTTTTCAGTCTGTTTCATTGACAGAGACAAGCTTGTGGGTTTTGGGTGTTGCAAAAGAGAGGGGTTATAGTTATAGAGAGATCGATAGCGATGGGTAGTGCACCGAATGAGAACGGTGGCTCGGTTCTTGATTTAGAGGATAAATGCGGAGTTGGTGGTGGTGTTCAGGATGTGTATGGTGAGGATAGAGCCTCTGAGAATCAGCCTATCACTCCATGGGCTGTTTCTGTTGCAAGGTAACAAAATAATATTCATTTACTGAGGACTTTCTTGTATTCTTGATGTTGATTTTGGTGTAATGTCAGAATATATGGTGTTGATGTATATTGAATGATTTGATTTGTGTGGGAATGGTGTTCTGGGTTCTGTTTATGTTATCTTACTCGAAAGAACGATAATATTATAGAGTTTTTTTTTTTGTGTCTGAATCAGGGATTGTTTTACATGCACCATTTTATAATATTGATGTTGATCTGAATTGTTTAATAGCTTTCTCAAACTTTGGACACAATCACTCTGTATCTTTTTCGCATGAATCAGTATTCAATATTTCTGATTTAGCATTTTCGTTGATCTTGATCTTAGTAATTTTAAACAAATTCTTTCGTTGATCCCATCATTTCATTTCTGTGGAATGTAATGATTTGTAGTCTGTTTATTTTCCCGAATGTGAATATTTCATGTCATTATTGCCAATTGTGTTGTGCTTACCCTTCTTCGCTAACCTGGTTACGAGCTATAGCTTTATGATCATGCTAGTTGATGCAAGGCATAGTGACAATTCTGGTGATATTGATCTTAAGTGACTGCTGTGTTGCCAATCGCATTGTGTTTTCTCTTCCTTGTTAACTTGGTTACAAGTTACAACTTTATCATCCAAGGCATATTGACAAGTATTATTATTTAGAGCACAAATAATATGTTTATGTTCAGTTTACACCAGTTATTCTAGACTTGTCTGCAAAAAAAAAAAAATAAATTAAAAATTAGTAATCAAGTAACATGATCCCGTTAGATTTTGACCCTTTTTTTTTTGTTTATTTCCAGTGGGTACACGTTGTTGCGTGATCCACACCACAACAAAGGGCTTGCTTTCACTGACAGAGAAAGAGATGCCCATTACTTGACGGGCCTTCTACCTCCAGCAGTTCTTTCTCAAGAGCTTCAGGTTACTTGATGGTCCTTGCACTTAGTTAAACTTTTTATACACTAAAGTCTTTATGAACGGTTCTTATCATTTTTCTACATTGGGTAACAGGAGAAGAAGTTGATGCACACTCTACGTCAATATACAGTGCCGTTACAAAGATACATGGCAATGATGGATCTCCAGGTAAGCTTTTCAGAAAAGAAAATCAAGAAAAAGTGGTAATTTGTGCAAGAATTCAGATAGTATCTATGATGGGATTTTTCATCATCCTTTACTGAATAGTCAACTGATACTAGATGAATCGGTAAGTTGTCGGGATTGTATATTTAATTTGTTTTTTTTTTCTATCATGCAGGAGAGAAATGAAAAGCTGTTTTACAAGCTGCTTATTGATAATGTTGAGGAGTTACTTCCTGTAGTCTATACTCCTACTGTTGGCGAGGCCTGCCAGAAGTATGGTAGCATTTTCAGGCGTCCTCAGGGACTCTATATCAGCTTGAAAGAGAAGTATGCTCTTTCTGTACTTTTTTAATTTTTCTCCTATAAAACACGCCCGCATATTTCTCCTGGCCGAACTTGTACTTTAAGTCGGGTTAAATATGTGATATCTAAGCAGTTTTAGAAGATACAAGAAAAAGGTGATCATGAGCTTTTGAATGGAATAATAGTTTTCCATGTTTCCGAATATTAGCTTCTACTTTATTAATCTGCTTAATTTAATCAGATCTGAAAGGAGTATATTTTAAATTTTGAATTGCCTTCTAGTTTTACTTACATGTATAAGACACTTAGAATACTTATTCATTAGACATTCTCCTTTAGTCTAATCAAAACTTGATCTTGCATTTTGTTTGTTTGTTTGTTATTTATTTATTTATTTATTTATTTGTTTTTTTGGGAAATAATCACTAGTGTCATATTATTTTATCCAGGGGAAGGATACTTGAAGTGTTGAGAAACTGGCCTGAAAAATCAATTCAGGTTATTGTGGTAACAGATGGTGAGCGCATTTTAGGGCTCGGGGATCTTGGTTGCCAGGTACATGATTGGTTCCTCTAATTTCAAATGCTCTTTTATTAATTTGTTAGTGTGTGACATATGAGACTTTCATGTTTGATTATTGATATGCTCACCAACACTCTATGTTGTGCCAGGGTATGGGAATTCCAGTTGGAAAACTCTCTCTGTATACAGCTCTTGGAGGAGTTCGTCCTTCAGCCGTAAGCAAATTAGATTTGTTCTATTTTTTTGTTGTTTAAATGTGCCTATCTATTTGCATACGTTTTGTATTCCTGAATATTTGTTTTTATTTTTATTGTTTGAATTCCTTTTTTATTTTTCACCTAAAATGTTCTTTCATTACCAATAATTCTTGAATGTGCACCTGTAACAGTGCCTGCCTATAACAATTGATGTCGGCACAAATAATAAGAAGCTGCTGGATGATGAATTCTATATTGGTTTGAGGCAAAACCGTGCAACTGGACAGGAATATGCTGAGCTTCTTGAAGAGTTCATGGCTGCAGTCAAACAAAACTATGGTGAGAAGGTCTTGATACAGGTATGTATGTATGTAACTTATGTCATATTTAGGGATTGTCTGCAATGGTATTAAGAAAATGAGTGATTGTCGCTTTTGGCGTGTTTTTTGTTTTCCTTTTATTTATCAAATACAAACATCTTGAAGACTAATATCTGACCTGAAATACCAATTGCGCTTTTGTTCGCCGTTGACCGGTTGTCCGAACTCAGTTTTGATTTATATATTTACATTTAACGATAAAAAAAATAAAAATATCTGACCTGAAATACTCATGTTTTCTCAGTTTGAAGACTTTGCAAACCACAATGCATTTGATCTACTTGCGAAATACCGCACAACTCATCTTGTGTTCAATGACGACATCCAGGTAAAACAATAAACATGCGAGAACTTCCGAAATCTGAATAAAAAACTGATTTTTCGAGATAAAATGAAATAAAATTTATTCCTGACATCTCAGGGTACAGCCTCGGTTGTTCTTGCTGGGATTGTTTCGGCTTTGAAATTTGTTGGAGGAACATTATCAGATCATACTTTCCTGTTTCTGGGTGCTGGAGAGGTTAGCGTGATTATCCTTGTCTGCAAGAAGATCGGCATAAATACGCATTTTGAGAATTTTGTTATATAGTATATACTTAAAAACATGGAAAATATTCAAGTGTTTGCACAGAGGGAACAAAGAGCACATGAACTTCTCATGAAACTGATTTTTTGTGAGTTACGATTTTTTCTATTGCATAATTATGATTATTGTTAATTTATTTTTTAGTATAGGACGAAAAAAGATTGGTTTCGGCATAATTTTCATGCAATTTATCCGTCATTTATAAGTTGGAAAAAAATCGAACAGCTCCATACTTTGTTGATATATCTGTTTTTAACCTTTTTGAGCATCTTTTCTTATCTGAATTTCTTTTGGCTTCCTCAAGGCCGGGACTGGTATAGCTGAACTTATTGCTCTTGAAATATCTAAGAAGGTAACAACTTGTATTGCCATCCTCCTTGTTTTTGCTTTTGCTTTGCACACCAACTTAAGGTTCCTTTCGGTTTTGTAGACAAATACTCCAATTGAAGAAACAAGGAAGAAAATTTGGCTTGTGGACTCTAAGGTATGGATTCGTGTTCTTTACGTGGGAATCAGTGCCTTTTCTTATATTGTCAACCATTGGTTTACCTTTGTGATTCCACATGACAGGGGTTGATTGTGAGTTCTCGTAAAGAAACTCTTCAGCATTTCAAGTTACCTTGGGCACACGAACATGAACCAGT